AATAGCATTCCTTTGAGAACGACTCGAGGTCGGGTAGCTCGATTACCAAATACCCAAAATTATAATAAACAGTGAGAAGGGCCTATGTTTCAAATGCGAAGAAAAATTCACACCGGGCCATCAATGTAAGCAAGCTTTCGTGATAGACGTTGCTAATCCTGACGAGGAGGAATTAGAGGTCAAGGAAGAACAACATCAGGAGGATGAGGTTGAGGTGCCCGAAGAGGAAGCAGAGATATCGATGCACGCAATGGCCGGGATCAGAGGCCTCGAACGATGCGATTGCCAGCTTGGGTCAAGGATCGTAGGGTGATGGTACTCGTGGACAACGGGTCATCACACAACTTCATCAATGCTGACTTGTACCAGAAGCTGAACTTACCAACCACGAAGATTGAGCCTTTTGAGGTACGCGTAGCTAATGGCGAGAGGCTGCAATTCACTGAATCCTTTCGAAAAGTGCCAATCAAGTTCCAAAGAGTTACAGTGAAGGCTGATCTCTATGCTTTACCCCTCGTCGGACCTGATGTAGTGCTAGGAGTCCAATGGCTCGAAGGGTTAGGCAAGGTGACTACCGACTATCGAACGAGAATTATGGAACTCAATTCTGGAGGTCGACAAGTCACTCTGAGCGCTGGCAACGAAAAAGTAACCAAGGAAGTAGGACTGAAGAGCATCGAAAGAGTTTGGCGAGGCGGAGGCCAAATCTTTGCAGTAGTGGTCAAGAACGCTGAGGCACATATAGAACCGGACGAGCGACAGCAGGGAGATGTGCGCGAACTTCTCGAAGAGTTTGAAGGAGTCCTGGGCGAACCTAAGGGACTACCACCGCACCGAGAGTTCAATCATCGCATACCACTGCTCACTGAGCAGCACGCCATACACGTCCACCCTTATAGGTATGCTCAATTTCAGAAAACTGAGATCGAACGGCAAGTGGCCGAGATGCTAGAGTCAGGATTAATCCAGCATAGCAAGAGTCCGTTTTCTTCTCCAGTACTGTTAGCTAAGAAGAAAGATGGTACGTGGAGGTTTTGTACTGACTATCGGGCTCTGAATGCCGCGACTATCAAAGACCGATTTCCTATTCCTAGTGTCGACGACATGCTCGATGAGTTAGTTGGATTATATTACTTCTCAAAGCTCGATCTGAGAGCTGGCTATCATCAGATTCGACTCCACAGGGCCGACATACCAAAGACAGCTTTTCGTACGCATCAAGGGCATTATGAGTATTTGGTAATGCCATTCAGGTTGTGTAACGCCCCATCCACTTTCCAGTTTGCTATGAATTCCATCTTCAAGGAGTATATGCGTAAGTTCGTTCTGGTATTCTTTGATGATATCTTGATCTATTCCAAGTCATGGGCTGAACATCTTGAGCACTTGAGAGTGGTGCTCGAAATCTTGGAGGCCAACTCTTTTCACAACAAGCCATCCAAGTGTTCATTCAAACAGAAGATGGTTGAGTATCTAGGGCATTTCATATCCCACGAAGGCGTGAAGGTTGATCCACGAAAGATTGAGGCTATGTTCGACTGGCCTAAGCCGTCGAGTCTCACGCAGTTGAGAGGGTTTCTAGGACTTACGGGCTACTACAGAAAATTCGTGAAGGATTATGGAACCATCGCTAAGCCCTTGACAGAGATGACCAAGAAAGGTGGGTTCACATGGACTAAGGTTAGCGAGGAAGCATTTGGGAAACTGAAAGTCGCCATGACTACAACGCCAGTACTCGCCATGCCGAGGTTTGATGTCTTGTTCGAGGTACACACAGATGCGAGTGACATTGAGATTGGAGTTGTGCTAGTGCAAGAAGGACGACCCTTAGCCTATCTCATCAAGGCACTAGGCACGACTCGACTAGGTCTATTGGTGTACGTAAATGAGATGCTAGCAGTTGTCGAGGCTGTAAGGTGCTGGAGGCCTTATCTTCTGGGACGATGCTTCCGGATTGTGACCGATCAGCAGCCGCTCAAGCATCTACTCGAGCAAAGGATTGTTACCCCCGAACAGCAGAAATTTGTGTCAAAGCTTATGGGGTTTGACTTTGAAATAGTCTACCAGCCAGGTAGACAGAATGCCCTAGCTGACGCCCTATCCCGACGAACAGATGTAGCTGAGCTTGAAGCTATCACCGGACCGACATGGACCATTTGGGAGGAAGTTCGAAGGGCACAAGAGGAGGATACTTATTGCAAGGAAGTGCGTCAAAAGATTGAGGCAGAAGAGACCATTACTGACTATGAGCTGCACAACAGCCTTTTACTACATTGAGGTCGAGTATTCGTCCCTAACAGTGGGCAATTATGCGATAAGATCATACAGCACTTCCACGATTCTAAGGTTGGAGGTCACTCGTGTATTTACCGCACTTGGATGAGGATAGACAATACCTTCTTTTAGCCCAGACAGTAAGGCACGGTTCGAGACTACATCGCAAGGTGTGACGACTGTCAACGCACTAAGGCTGATTCGCGACGACCAAGCGGCCTACTACAACCCCTACCGGTACCGATGCAGTTTGGAAGATATTACTATGGATTTCATCGAAGGGTTGCCAAGTTCTAATGGATTCAATGGTGTCATGGTCGTAGTGGATCGACTTACGAAGTATGCCCACTTCATACCCATCACCCATCCTTACACGGCGAAGTCAATTGCTAGACTCTTCGTTGAGTATGTGATGAAGCTGCACGGGGATCCATGATCTATAGTTTCTGACCGGGATAGGATTTCTATGAGCAACTTTTGGTCCGAGTTCTTCAAGCTGCAGGGGACTAAGTTGTCCATGAGCTCAGCATATCATCCCCAAACCGATGGGCAAACTGAGGTAGCCAACCGAACTCTTGAGCAGTACTTAAGGTGCTATGTCCATTAATTTCCAAAGAGATGGGAAAACTTTTTACCCTGGGCTGAGTACTGGTACAATACCACCTGCCATGAATCAACCAAGATGACTCTATTTGAGCTGGTGTACGGGCGTAAACCGCCGACACTGGTCAACTACTCGGAAGGAGGTACGGTTAACGATGAGGTTGGTCGAGAACTCGAGGAACGAGATCTGATGTTGCGAGAATTAAAGAAAAATCTCGAAGGCTAGATTAACCGAACCAAAGCCTTCGCTGATGGTAAGAGGCGTGAAGAGAGCTTTACACCGGGAGAGTATGTTTACCTAAAGCTACGACCATTCAGACAGCGCACAACAGCACAAAGGGCAGCGACTAAGCTTGGAGTTCGCTATTATGGACCTTATCAGATTCTGAAGCGTATTGGTCAGGTAGCTTATCACCTAGAATTGCCAGAAAGTTCTTAGATCCACCCGGTTATCCATGTCTCACAACTCAAAAGAAGTCTAGGAGAAGCGCAGAAGTATTGTGAGGAATTACCAGCAACCGCTACCGATGATAGGATCATAGTGCGTCTGAAGCGAGCGATTGAGTATCGCAAGGTAAGGAAAGCAGGACGATGTCGATGGGAAGTACTAGTCGATTCGGAAAAGTTGCCAACCAAAGAAGCCACCTGGGAAGACCTTGATGAGATGCGCGATCAATTCCTGAGTTTCATCCTTGAGGACAAGGAATCACTTGAAGGGGACGGGAATGATACGGAAGTGGCTAGGCAGCTCAAGAACGCCGCGAGTTGCGCCTACCATGCACGTAAAAGGCAAGCACGGGTGACGACCGAAGTACACGCACTGGAAGGTAGTGCGCGTGGAATGGGCGAAGAAAGGCCGCACGCGAATGTGCGAGCGGTGTGCACGGATGGCGTGCGTAGCGTAGGTGGGCAAGACGAGCGTAACGCGGGGGTGATGGGCGCGCGCGCAGAAAGGTCGGGCGCAGGGGAGGCACGCGCCACGGACGAGGCCTCATGCCTCAAGGCATGCGGAAAGGCGGGGCAGCATGCGCGCAGGGAAGCTGCTGGGGGCGAAGTCGTGCGAGACACGCCCGATGGGGAAGGACGCGCGGGGCGCGATGCCGCTGTCCTCGAGGAATACAGACTAGCGGACGGAGACGCGCGGGAGATGAACGCGCGGGGCGCTGGAGTGCGCACCACGCTGGGTGACGGGACACGCGCGAAGGGCGGTGCCCTAGTCCTCGAGGACTAGGGCCAATGAAGGCGGCGCGCAAGTAAGGCGGTGCAAGACCGCGTGCGAGAGGGAGAATTAGAGAGAGAGGGATTACTTGGAGTGCACACCAAGAGATTTAGTTTCCAACTAGCACTATAATATCTAGATTAATTAGGATACTTAATATTTTATTGCTTATTTAGTTTCCTAGGTAGATTAGACTTAGACAAATCTTGTGCCTATATAAAGGCCCTTTCCCCCATGTTATTTTTTATCATCATTCAAGAATTAATAGAAATCCAGAACTTTTTTTCTTCCACTTTGCTTTAGTCTTTCACCAAAATACTATAGCAATTTTATTCATTTCAATAGGCGCTGTTGTGGCTAGAGAAACACTATCGGCGATTCAAGGCGCGGGTTAGCGGATTATCGGTAATCGAAACACACGATCCTCATCACTGTGTCTGCGCGCACGCCTGCGCGCGCGCTCTGCTGTGCTGCGCCTACGTGCGCCAGTGTGATACGGAAGTGGTCATCAATCCAGACAAATCCGACGAGGAAGGTGACGATGATCTCGACATATGGTTGGAAAACATGCTGGAGGAGCCATCGAGCCCGATATATCGACCATCTTGCAAAAGAGACTGGCCAAAAGGGTGTGGTCCACAATCTAAGCTAAAGCGTAAGAAGCGCAAGACCAAACGAGCCCGAAGGAAACGCAAGGCGAAGGCAAAGGAATCATGTTGTTGGTGCAAACCTTATACAAGGAAGAGACGAGCATGGCGCTCGGAGGCTAAAAGGCGTGGTTTGCGATGGGTGAAAGATGGATTGTGGATACCGGCGGAAGATTGTGAAAGGTTGAATGGTTGGGATCCATGGCTCGAGCCGACGGAGAAAAGCAGCAACAAAGAGGGCAACGACGATCGGCTAGTGGGCAAATGGCACGCATCGTCCCATGATGCGCGCGGTTGGACGGAGCAGGAGGCACAGGGATGCGGGGCAGCCGAGCGGACCACGGACGTCGACTGGGACGCGCTGGCGTTCGGCGATGAAGGCGCGGGGCGCTATAGGCACGCGGATGAGCGGTTTGCGGGTATGAGCGGTACGGGCCATGCCGCAGGTGCACGGGAGTGCGCGGGAGGTGATCGGAGCTCGCGGGCGATGGATGCGACGCGCGAAGAAGCAGGCGCGGTGGGATGCGCCGTAGGCGATTGGGGCTTGGGCGTTAGCGAAGACGCATGCGGGGAGGCCAGCTGGGAAGGAGCGCGCACGAGGGCGCGCGAGTGCAGCGGAGACGCGGGCGCATGCCTATGCGCGATCGGCATAGGCGAGGGGGGCGTACATGCGTGGGAGATGCGCGCGATGAGAATTAGGAAACCCCGAAGGACGGCGCGCACGCATAAGGCAAGAGAGAGGCGGCATGCGAAAATACTTTGGGCGTGTGATTTGGAATTGTTTGGAGTGCAAGCCAAGCAAGATCAAGATCTAGTCAACAAGGACTCTAGTATATTTAGTTTCCTTCTTGCACAATAATATCTAGATTGTTTAGGAATTTAATATTTTATTGTTTTAATATGTTTCCTAGGTAGATTTGAATTAGTCATAGTTAGGATCTATAAATAGGGAGCATCCCTCATTGTTTTAAGAAGTCTTGGATTTGATTGTTGTTATGCGATTTTGTAACAACATGGGGTGTTCGGAGAATTGTGTATCTCGACGAACTTCTTTGGATTTTGTTGTGAATTAAATTTGTTCAGGTAGTTTGAATGAAAAGATCAAAAGAAATAATCGTGAAAATATGATGATTAGGATGAAGAAAATCCCATAGAGGCGGTGCCTCTTTCTTTACGGATAAAGAAGGAAAAATAACAAAATGTCAAATGCCCCCTCAGTCTCATCTCATCTTGCCCATCATAGGGGGGTATTTATATTCGGTTTTATTGACCCCGATATTATTACAAGCGGTATTATTTTTGGGCCTTAATAATAAGATAAAATACAATAATTGATTTAATGTATATCCACATGATTTAATATATATATCCACGTGGACTATCTTAATAGGTGAGGCCAAAATTAGGTAACAACATTGATGAAATAGAAAAGAACGTTTGTTCGAAACCGTATGTTTGGCTGACTGATGCTTTATAATATGTCTGAATGTTGTGACGTATGGATGTCGTCCGGGTACTTTGGGACCCGTAGTCGCTTTATCGCTCGTGTTCAGGCTTCGGCCTGACTTATTAATGTCAATCGTGTTGTTTGTTATGACGAATGGAGTTGACTGCGTGGATAGTCAACTTTTTGCAATTGCTATATGAATGGAGGCCTGGATGGCCTAGTTGGGTGATTAGGTACCCGTTTTTCGTGTGTTGCGTGTAATATGACACATTTTACTGGATTCGCGTCCGTAATACTGACAATGATATGGCTTTGTGTGAGTACTCGGGCCCCTGAAATCGTTATGGGATTCGCAATTTTGTTGTCGTACTAAGACGACGCGATTTTTTATTTTGTAATTGATTTTCTGAATAGTCTAGACCTGTTCGGATAATTCGGTATCCGGTCTTCAGTCTTGTAATATTTAAAGGAATATGATCGTCCCAGCTGGTAGGTATTATAGCACGCCTCAACAACGTGGGTCTTTAAGGAATATAAGAACGGGTATCAGCCTTACCAAGCTGAAGAACTTGGTGTAGGTAAAGGCTTTACCCTACCGGGCTGAAGAACTCGGTGTAAATATTTTTTCTTTTGTACTTTTGCCTAACCAACGTAGATCCAAACATATAAAAGCGTTTGGTGTATTATATTTATTTTTATTTTTTATCGATCAGGTAATATGTTCATGATCTTTAATGTGACTTATAGGGCATTAGCCTTGCTAAACCAACTTCAGGGTTTGGAAAAGAAGTGTTCATGTCAAGATGTGTGTATGACGCGCGTATATGATGAATGTATGTATGAATGTATGTATGAATGTATGTCTGAATGCACGAATATATAATGAGTACGTGCGGGAAATAATTACTGTACGATAAATGATGTTACCTCGATGTTTTGTCGAGTCTGACTTTTTTGCCGGTAGGTGCTGTGCCTTGCCGGAATATTGGGCGTACCAAACCAACTTCAGGATTTGGCGAAAAAATATTATTGATGTCGGTTATTAATGTAAGCCCGCTAAATCAACTTCAGGATTTAGCCACGAGGGGCATCAGCCTCCCCAAGCCATCTTCAGGGCTTGGTAGTATCCGGCTGTGTTGCGTTTGGCCAGGCCATACCAACTTCAGGGTACGGACACGTTTAGCCTCAGCAACATGGACCGATTTATCGAGGGTCCATTAATTGTGTTTTCCCATGGTAGGTTATGTGTCTTGCCTCTTGCGGGGAAGACACACATTTTTTTATGCACCGAACTATTTTTCGAGATTCGGCTCTTTTTAATGGATGGAGCAAAGGCTCAACGGCGAAGAAATACTAAAACGTCAGCTCAATCAGAACCGAGGCTCTACGGTGAGCGAATATAAATGTCAGAGATAAAAGATACCTCAGCAGTAATGCATAATTTTAGCCTCGGCATTGGTAAGATAAATCTGCCCCGGTGATGATAAATGATTCTGACTCCGTCATAATAAGTGTAGTCAACTCCGGCATCAAAAAATGAATTCGGTCTCTGTATAAATAGATTCAGCCTCAGTGTCGATAAATAATATCGGGCCCAGCTATTGTCGGGTTGAGCAAATTTGTTCTCGGCTCCCGTCGCTTTGAGCAAATAAATTCGGCCCGCGGCAAGATAAATGAATTCGACTCTTGTGTTCGTATATTTGAATAAGATTCGACCTCGGCATTGATAACTGGATCCGGAGACAAGCGAATGATAAATTGACAATGTGTACGAACTCGGCCCCGGCTAACGTCGGCATGAATAAATAAACTCGGTCTCCATCGGTAGGCGATGAAGTCGGCTCCTAGTAATTGGAGTCGGAAATGAATACATTGATTTAGTGCGGCTCCGCCCGGCTTGGAGTGGGCACTGGTAAGATTAGTTCAGCTATATTTTATGAGTTCAACTTTAGAGACGAAAAAACTCGGCCCCAGATTTTAAACTCGGTAGATGAATCAGCTTGAGTGTCTTGTTAAACCTCTATTGATACAGCACGTTGTTGGGCCTGTAAGTATATTTGTCACAATCAAATTCAGCAGCCCATATATTTACTCTTCAGGCCCAAAGTTCTCATTTTCCACCGACAGTTGGGTCTGCTCATATGCACATCGGTTTTTTCTTTTTTTTTTCCGTCAAATCTGGATTTCCCTTGATTCTCTCGCTGCATAAGCCTTTCTCTTTCTCTTTTTCTTTTTATTTTTATCAAGAAATCGCCGGCGAGATTACAACTCGTCGGCTCAGCGGCTTTCGATTCGACAATTTCTGGTTACGATTTGACAATCCGACAGAGATCGGGCTCTAGCTGAGATCTTGAAGTCGGATATACCGAAATCGAGTTGCCGGCAAAGTCGGTCTTGAAGATATCAGTTTGTTTGGTGGTCGTTTGCTGCGATGTCAGAAAATCGGACTTCGATGATTAAAGATTCAGATCGAGGTGAGTCCAAGATTACAACTAACTTCGGGAAATCAGATTTCGACAATTAATGATTCGGTCCGATGAGGTCTGGCTCCAGTTGTCTCGGAGGTCGGGTTTTGATTCGCCGGACGTCGGAGAGGCGATGTCGGATGTTTGTCGGGAGAGGGAAAAGTCGGCCATGTCAGACGTCTGTATGGAGATGATGAACTCGGTCTCACCGTGCAGGTCGGGAAAGATGGAATTGAAGTCCGATTTGCCACAGAGACTTAAAAATCGAAGTTGGCCCGATTGTAATTTCAGAAATCCGACGACAGGTCTGGTCAGTCTGAAATCTGAGTTTGGCTAATCATTCCAAATTCAGCCGTAATAAAGTCGGCCGGTTGCGTTGGGAGACCCTCCGCAGGTGTGACGTCGTTCCTTGGGTTGATGTCGGTGTCGGTTCGCGAGGTCCCAATAATGTGAAGTCGGGGCTCCACCGAGGTTCTGGCTGTAATTTGAGAGCACCGTGTTACGACTGGCTCGATTTCAGAAATGCGTATCAAACTTCTCGGGCCCCTGGTGCTTTGCTCGACTCATGCGGAGAGCGTATCAAACTTCTCGGGCCCCAGGTGCTTTGCTCGGCTCATGCGGAGAGCCGACGGTGGGCTACCCGATTTCTTACTTATGATTTCAGGTTGCAGCTGTAAGTTGGTTTGGGGGCGACGTCGGTATCTGACTGTGAGTATGACGGGATCTCTGGAAAGGTGATGTCGGGGATAGTGAAGTCACCCAACTTTGATGTCGGGGATGGATACGTCTGCCTATTTTGAAAGCCGGTCGGTGGTTCGCGAGGTCGGGCCCGGGTAATTAAGGTCGGAGATGCCGATGTCGGTTTCGGCCGATTTGTGCACTGTTGGGACATATGAGGATCTCGATATGCACAAATCACGGACAAACATTCAACATAAACATATGCGCAGCAGATCTAAAGGTTTGATGAAGAAAACTTACTGCTTAAAATTTATGTAGATCTGGCTGGCCCGAACAGTTGACCGCAAATCAAATCTTCTCGGAATTGAACAAACTTGACCAATCCAGAAAGCTGGCGTCACGGCGAAGTCAACGGCGTTGACCGATCGGAAATCGGACGGTTCATGCGCTCTCACGCGCGCGAGTAAGCTCCGACAGCTGCTCCCTTCCGGCGGCGCGTGGCGGCGCGTGCGGCGGCGGCTGGCGGCGATCTCGACGGCAATCTCTTCGTCTCGTCGTCCTGGTCATCGTGTTATGGTCACTTGCTGGTTTTGGTCTCCGGTTTGGATGTATGATAGATCTGATTGGAATCCCGTATATACCTTAAGATCTTCTACAGTATTCTCAAACAACTATCTAGA